TGAGGATGGGGGAGGAGAGGGGCCCGAGGGCGCGTCTTTACCTTGGCCGGTGAGTCGCAGGTGGGCGGGACCTGGGGGGGAGGGAGGGGAGGGAGGGGACGGGGCGAGGGAGGGGGAGGGACGGGGGGAGGTGCGGAGAACGAAAGCCAAAGGGATGGGAAAAGGGAAAATTTTGGGGAAAGAAAAGGGAAAGTGGTTAAACACGGGGGGGGAGGGGAGGGGGGTGCTCAGAGTGGGGAGGGAAATGGGGAAAAGTGGCGGGAAAAAGGAAATTGGGGGGAAAATGGGAAAGGAAACAAAAGTGTTGAAAGAAAACGAAAGGGAGAAAAAGCAGAGAAAGAGAAAAACGGGAAAAAAAGAAAAATGGAAAAACGGAAAACAGAAAAAAGGAAAAGTAGGGAAAGGAGGGGAAAAAGGAAAAGGGACAAAAGGGAAAAGGGAGGAAAAAGGAGAAAGAGGAAAAAAGTGAAAAGGGTCAAAGCAAGGGAAAGGAGGAAATTGATAAAAAGGGTGAAATCAGCAAAATAAGGGAAAAGAGCAAAAAATTAAAATAGAAAAAAGTGGGAAAAGGAAAAATAATTTAAAAAGGGAAACTAATCAAAGAGAGAAAATAAAGAAGAAAACCAGTGAGAAAGGGAAAGCAAAAAATGGAGATAAAAAAAGAAAAATAGGATACAAAAGGGGAAAATATAAAAAAAAAAATTATTCAAGAGAGGAAAACAATTTTTAGAAGAAAAATAATTAAAATAAGGAGAAAACTATAAAAAAGGGGGAACTGTTATTAAATATGGAGAGGAATAAAACAAGGAAAAAATAAAAAGGGAAAATAATTTAAAGAAGGGAAAATATGTAAAAAAAATGGAAAATAATAAAAATAAAGGGAAAGTCACGAAAAGAGGGGAAATAATAAAATAACAACTACTAATAAGAAATGAAAAATAATTAAAGAAGAGAAAATAATTAAAAAGTTGAAATAATGGGAAAAGAAAAAAGGGAAATAAAACGAAAAAGTAAAGGAAAAGCGGCAAAATGGGAACAAAAGGGGAAAACGGGAATGAAAGAGAAATTAATTAAAAAAGACAAAAATAAAAAAATCAGAATTAAAAAAATAAAAATCAACCAAAAAACCCAAAATGACCGAAAGTCCCGGGGGGAGGGAGGGGCCCCGGGTGGGGGAGGGGCCCCGTCACAACTTAAACCTCCTTTAACTTGTGACGGCATCGGGCGATGCCGGGGGGTGGGAGGGGCAGGGAGGCGGGGACAAGCGCGGGGGGGGGCGGGGCCACCACAGGCAGCGCTGCCCTCCCCCCCCTCTGCCTTCCCGCGGGTTTTTCCCCTTTTTCCGAGGTTTCGGGGAAAAGCCGGGGGTGGGGGAGGGGATGAGACACGGGGGGGCGGGACCGCCCCTGGCGCGGGGACCCTCCCCCACCCCGGGACCCTTGGCCGGGGGGGGCTCTGGGAGGGCCTCGTGTGGTGCACGTGGATGCGGGTCCCGCCCTTTGTACAGGCCCCGCCCCTGTAAAACCCACTGCCCCTGCCCTGACCACGCCCACCACACAGACCGTGGTCCCTGGTTAGGCTCCGCCTATCCAACAGGCCACACCCGTTTGTGTGTTCTCGTGCAAGCCCCACCCCCCCATTGGCCATCAGCTCTGCCTTCATTTGCATAGCCCCACCCCTAGACAGCAGAACCTCGCTTCATTGGCTCAGCCCCATCCCCTTCATTCGCATGCCAGCGTCTTATTGGGCCAGCCAGAGAGTGACGTCATGGCCGGGGGCAGAGGGTGGTGCTCCTTGTGTGGGCCCCGCCCCTTTTTCACAGCCTCGCCCTCTGGCGTCGTCCCGCCCCCTCGTGCAAGCACCTCCCCCTCACGCCCCACAGGCCTTTGCCTTTCACACGCACCCCCTTGGAGTGCCCCGTGACCCCTCGTGACCCCTCGTGACACACGAGGCCCCCCAGCTCCACACAGCCCTGGGGTGACACCCCTGTCACACCTGAACCTCTTCCTGCCCCTTTGCTGAGCCACAAACCCCCCACCCCGCCCCGCTGTGCACACCCCTCACCCCCCAACACGCCCCCCTCACACAGCCCTTACTCACCTTCCACAGCGGGTTCTTCCTCTGAGGGTCCCGGCGGGGCAGTGGGGGGGGAGGGGCAGAGCCGTTAGTGCCCAGGACCCTCCTGTGTCCCCACTGTGTCCTCATGACCCTCCCACCCCTGTGACCTCGGGATGACCTTCGGGGCGGGGCAGAGCGTGTGTGTGTGGGGTGCACACCCCGAAGGAGAGTTCACACGTCCTGGGGGGGTGTTTGCACGCCCTGGCGCTGTTCGTACACCCTGACCCGTGTCCCGGGGGGGTTTGCACGCCCTGCATGGTGTCCCTGGGGGTTTGCAGCCCTCAAGAGGGGTTTGCATTCCCAGGGGGGAAATCACACCCCAAGGGAGGGTTGGCACGCCCTGTACACACCCATGGGGATCCCACATGGCACACAGCACTGCACAAGCATCCCACAGGGGCCCTGCACCCCATAGTGCACCCCATAGCACCCTAAAGCACCCCTTGGGGGCTGCACACCCCATAGTGCACCCCACAGGGACCCAGCACCCTCTAACACAGTCCACAAGGACACAGCACCCCATAACACACCCCACAGGGCCTGTACACTGCACAGTGCACCCCACAGCAGCACCCTCCAGGGGCTGCATCCCCTTGGCACACCCCATAGCCCCCCCCCGACCCCCCCAGGGGTCGTGTACCCCATAGTGCCTCCACGGTCCTCAGGGCACCCTCCACTCCCCTGTCCCTCTCCCCCCTCAAGGACGCAGAGGGAGCATCCTGTGATGCCGTGACAACCGTCGCCACGGAGACAGGCCCGAGCATCGCCATGGCAATGGGTACCCAGCCCCGGCAGCGCCATGGCAACCGACCCTGGCAACGCGCCCGGAGGATGCTGTCACCACGGTGACACCGAGCGGTTGTCCCCGGGTCCTGGGGACGTGTGCGAGGGCGTGTTTGCACGAGGGCGGGTCCAGACGAGGGACCCCCATGCCCAGGGCTTGCCCAGGGCCCACCCAGGGCACACCCAGCTGTCCCAGTCACCCCTGAGGTCACCCAGGCCTGGGTGCCTTGCACGAGGGCCCACGGGCGTGCATGCAATGGCACGAGGGTGTGCAAATGCTGGGGACGAGTGGAGGCACCAGGGCGTGCAATTGCACCAGTAAACATGGGAGGGGTGATGCTCTGGGGAGGGGCTGGGGGTCCCCAAACTCCTGTCAACTCCCTGCCAGGGGGATCCTGACCCACCCACCCTCTCTGTGTGGCACAAGGGCACAACGACAGGCAAAGATGGGGACATGAGGACATGGAAGGACAACAGGACAGGGAGAGACACAAGGATCAGGGTGGGACAGGAGGATCATGGAGGGGTCATGTGTGGACATGCAACACCATAAGGGTAAGGAAGGACATCAGGACATGGGGACACACAGTGGCAGGAAGAGGTGACACAAGGACACAGGGACAGAGGACGTGTGAACCAGGAGGACACGAGGACATGGAGCAACTCAAGGGCACAATGTCATGAGGACACCCAACACCACGAGGACACTGAGAAGACACAGAACTCCACAAGTGCAAAGACACGAGAACACCATGATAAGAGGATGTGCAACACCGGGGGAGACGGGGAGAAACAGCGTGATGAGCAGCATGAGGACACAACCAACAACATGGAGTGTGTTCAGTGCCACGAGGACACGGAGAAAGACATGTGTGGACATACGAGGACACACAACACCAGGAAGACACAAAGACACGGAGGGACTCGGGGATGCAACAACACGAGGACACAAGAACGTGGAGGAACACGGTGATGCCCAATGTTGCGAAGGTGCCCAGTGTGGCAAGGACATGGAGAAATGCCAGGACATGAGGACCCCAGCTAGTTTCGCACCCACTACAGCCGCCACCCCTCCCACGACTCCCCAGCTCCCGCCTTCCCCGCGCCCTCACCTTCCTCGCAGAAGGGCCCGCGGTGGCCGGTGCCGGTGCAGTCGCAGCGGGGTTCCCCGCGGTGCAGGGCGCAGCGGCCGCCATGGGCGCAGGGTGGGTGGTGGGCACAGCGCTCGTCACCATCGCCCCGGACCCCCTGGGCTCCCAGCAGCGCCGCCGGCGCGTCGCCCACCCGCAGGTCGGCCACCCACCCGCGGAACGGCGGCTCGTACTTGACGGTGCTGAGCGTCAGCGCCGAGAGCCGCACGTCGGGCGGGATCCCCCCAACGAACAGGTCGCTGGCCACGGCCATGTCAGGGCGCTTGGAGCGCACGGTGGCTGCCCGCGCCTCCCCATCCACGGCCAGCGCCGCGTGCCGCGCGTGCCGGGTCAGCAGCACCGTGTGCCAGCGTCCGTCGCTGACCGGCGCCGGCGGCTCCAGCGTGGCGGGCTCAGCACAGGCAATGGCGAAGCGCAGCCGCAGCCGGCCCTCGGCCACCAGTAGCTCCAGGAAGTCACAGTTGCCGCCGTCATCCAGGTACAGCAGCAGCGCCCGCGTCACGTTGGTCTTTAGGCGGAAGCTGAGCTGCCCCCCCGCACCCGGCGCCCACCGCCCGTACCGTGCCCACTGTCCCGGGGCGCCCCCGAACTCCAGCGCTGACCCCCAGGCACAGGGCAGCACAAGGGACCCCAGCGTCAGCAGCACCAGCCCCAGGCGAGTGCCCGAGGGGACGTGGGGACATGGGCGGGGGGCGGCGGTGGCCCAGGGGGGTGGGGGTGGTCGATGGGACTCAGTCCCTGGACGGGTGGTGCAGCGTCCCTTGGCCGCAGTGTCCTGGTGGACCCTCAAGCCCAAACATGCCGTGGAGCCATGGTTGACCTTGGTCTCTTGGGGATCCGCTGGATTGGCCCTGGGGGCTTGGTGGACCTTCAAGTCTATAAGAGCCACAGAGTCTTGGTCAACCTGGGTGTCAAGGTGGTCCATGGGGTCTTGGTTGGCCTTGGGCTCTTGCGGGTCCTCAGGGGCTTGGTTGGCCACAGGGTCTTGATGAACCCTCAAGTTTAGACACACTACGGGGTCTTCGTTAACCTTGGCCTCTACAGGGGAAGTGGCGCTTTGGTTGGTCATGGAGTCCTGGTTGACCTTGGGCTCTCGGGGGTCCTCACAGGCGTGGGAGGCCACAGAGTCTTGGTGGACCTTCAAGTCTATACAAGCCATGGAGCCTTTGTTGACCTTTGAGTCCAGCAGGACCATGGAGCCATCATCAGCGTTGGGTTCTGTGTGGGCCAAGGGGTCCTGGTTGCCCATGGAACCTTGGTTGGCCACAGATCCTGGATGGACCTTGGTCTTTGAGTGATCCTGGGAGTGCTGGTTGGCCACAGACCCCACGTGGGTCATGGAGACCTGGCTGACCTGGCTCTCCGGGTGGTCCTCAGAGCCTTGGTTGCGTGTGGAGCCTTGGGAGACCTTTGAGTCCAACAGCACCATGGAGCCATCATCAATGCTGGGCTCTGGGTGGTCCTGGGAGTCCTGGTCACCCATGAAGCTTTGGTTGGTCTCAGAGCCCAGGTGGGCCTCAGTCTCCAGGTGGTCCTGGGAGCCCTGATGGGTCATGGAGCCCAGGGGAGTCACAGAGCCCAAGTGGGCCCAAGTCTCTTGGTGGTCCTGGTTGACCAAGGAACCCCAGCTGGCCATGGAGCCTTGAGTGGCCACGGAGCCCAAGTGGGCTTTAGTCTCTTGGTGGTCCTCAGAGCCTTGATGGACCATGGAGCTGTGGTGGGTCTCAGAGCCCAGGTGGGTTTTAGTCTCTTGGTGGCCCCTGGGTACCGGGTGCCCCTCGGCATCCGGACAGGTCATGGTGCCTGGGGTGGCTGCGGAGGCTGGGCGTGTTGGGGCGGCCCTAGGGGGGCCTGGGGGGGCCCGGCCACCCCCGTCCTCTCACAGCCGCATGGGTGGCCCCGGCGGGGGGTGACAGCCTGGCCGGGGGGTCCGGAGGCACCTGGAGGGGGAAGAGAGTCAGGGAAGAGGAACCCGGGGGGACTCAGGTGTCCAGGGGGGCTCCAGGTATCCAGGGGTGGGCTCTGGCATCCGTGCCCCCCCCTACCTCCCCAGCCAGTTATCAGCCCCTTAATTAACCCGGTGATTGGGGGGGGTAGAGGGGGGTCGGTCACCGCGGCAACCCAGGCCTTGGCATCATGCAAATGAACCCCCAGGTTATTTATAACACCCCCTCATTGGCTAATGGGGCTCATTAACATGCGCCGCATAATTAGCCAATCACATTAACTGCTGCACCTGCAGGGGGGGAGGGGGGATTGACAGCGACCCCCTCCCCATGGCACCCCCCACCCCCAATCCCAGGGGGGCCCAGGATGAGGAGGATCCCCACAGAGATCCCTCAGAGACCCCACTGACCCTCCCGGGGAAGGCCCTGCGTCTGGGCACACCCCCCCGCTCCATGGGTGTCCTCGGTGTGCCCTTCCACCCCCGGGGGTGATTAATTAATTAATTATCGATCACTGATGCTTGATAAGGGGGGGAGGGGGCACCTGGACACCTGAGTCCCCCCAGAGGGGTCTGGGGGGGCTTTGGGGAGGCTGTGAGTGAAGAAGGTGAATCCGGACGCAGCACTCCCCCTGGGGGGGTTAAGGGGACTCTAGAGGGGCTTCTATAGGGAAGTCCCCCCCAACTCAGCCACCTGGGTCCCCCGGGGGGGCTTCTGTGAGGGTTCAGGGGGAAAAGTGGGAGGGGGAGAGGCACCCGGACACTCGTGTCCCCCGTGTCCCCCATGAGCACCTGAAGGTCACGGGGAGGAGAGAGGGCCGGGAGGGAGAGGGGCAGGGGGAGAACTGTGGGGGGCGACCCCATGTCCGGGCTGTCCCACCCCCCCCAGCCACGGCCTCGCACACATGTGCTCTCACACACTGACACGCCCTTGCACATGCATGTGCCTGGGGCTGCACCTCCCCCGTGTGAGCAACCCTGCCTTGCACACGCCTGTGCACACGTGAGCCTGCACACACCTGTGCACAGATGCACATACGGACACACGCGTAGGCACGTGTGTGTGCACACACATGCATGTACAACCCCACGTCCAGCACACACGTGTGCACCCCCTCACCTGAACACACACCTGTGCGTGCACACACACGTACTCACACACACACACCTGCATGCCCTCCCCATGCACACACACACACGTGCTCACACACACCCACCCCTGTGCAAACACACACACACACACACATGTGCTCACATACACCCACCCCTGTGCAAACACACACACACACACATGTGCTCACATACACACCTCCACACACACTCCCCATGCACACACACACACACACGTGCTCACACACACGTGCACACACACAGACACCTGCTGGGTCACACCCCCCCTGCCTTGCACACTGGGTCACACCCCTCCACGTGCACCCCCTCCACAGCCACACGCTCACACTTGTGCAGGGGACCCTTGCACAGGTGTCACCCCCTGCACACTCACCTGCACCCCCTGCACACCCTCGTGCCCCCAGGCCAGCATGAACACCCCCCGCACACCTGCACAGGCTCTCGTGCACCCCAGTTTTTTGCACACCCCTCATACCCCCTTGTGCACACCAGTGTGAATCCCCCAAACACTCGCATGCACCCCAGCTTTGTACACCCCCCAAAATGCACCCCAACGCAGCACTACCCCCCCGCACACGTGTGTGACCCCAGTTTGGCACACACGTGCCCTGCACGCACTCATGCCCCCCACTTTGAGGTGCACACCCCCTGCACACTCAGGAGCACTCTGGTTTGGTATGCACACACCCCTCAGATGTGTGTGTGCTTGTGCACCCCAGTAGAGTCTGCACCCCTCCCTGCACCCCGCTTTGGGGTGCACCCCCCTGCACACTCACCTGCACCCCAGCTTGGTGCACACCCCCTGAGATGTGCACACACACGTGTGCATAACCCCCCTGCTCTGACATGCACACCTTGTGCGCCCCCCACACACTCCCCTGTACCCCAGGTGTGCACATACCCTCTGCACACTCACCTGCACCCCAAGTGTGCACACACACACCCCTGCACGCTCTCCATGCACCACCAAACATACTCACACGCGTGTGCACCCCAATGCAGTGTGAACCCCCCCCGGCACACTCGTGTGCACCCCAGGTCCGCACAGACAGGCACCCCCCAGATCCACACACGCTGCCCTGCACCCCAACACAGGGTGCACCCCCTGCACACTCACCTGCACCCCAGCTTTGCACACCCCTCCCTGCACACCCATGTGTCCCCCAGCTTGGTGCACACCCCCCCAAACACACTCACGTGCTTGTGCACCCCACTGTGGTGCACGTGCACACCCCAGACACGCACACACTCCTGTTCACCCCAAATCTGCACACACTGTCCTTGCACGCTCGTGTGCACCCTGTGACACACACATACCCCCAAACATGTTCACACTCATGTGCACCCCGGTGCAGCCTGAACACCCCCCTGCACACTCCTGTGCACCTCAGTTTAACACCCCCACACCTTCACACACGTGCACCCCAACACAGCACACCCCCTGCACACTCATGTGCACCCCAACACAGCACACCCCCTGCACACTCATGTGCACCCCAGGACTGCCCCCCCCCCCCCGTGCAGTCGTGTGCACCCCCCCAGACACGCACACACCCACGTGCCCCCCAGTGTCACACACACGTGCCCTGTGCACCCACCTGCACCCCAACACCCCCCACTCACCCCCTGCCCGCCCACCTGCACCCCCGTTTCACCCCCATGTCCTGCACACGCGTGTGCACCCCCATGCAGTGCACACCCCCTGCACACTCACATGCATCCCGGGGCCGTGTGCCCCCTTTGCACGCTCACACGCTCCCTCACACTCTCATTCCCTCACACGCGTGTGCCACGCATGATGTCGCCCGTGGGGCCTGGGCCTGTCGCACACACATGTGCTGCACACCCAGCGCAGGCCCTGCGCCCGGGGGGGGAGCCCTGAGGGATTGGGGGGGGGTTGATGAGACCCTCCCGGCAGCGAGAGGGGAGGGGATGGGCTCCCCAGATCCCGCGGGGGGGGGGGGGGGGGGGGGGGGGGGGGGGGGGGGGGGGGGGGGGGGGGGGGGGG